TTATTCCTTTTTTTCTATCTTCTGCATATGAAAGAAAATATTTGAGTCTGACTTTTTGGGTCTGGCTTATTTCACTTAGCATGATGTTCCCCAGTTCTATCCATTTATCATAATTTCATTCTTTATGGCTGAATAGAACTCCATTGTGGGGGCTGGGGATGTGGCTCAAGTGGTAGCACGCTCGCCTGGCATGCACGAGGCACTGGGTTCAATCCTCAGCACTACATAAAAAATAAATAAATAAGTAAAGATGTTGTGTCCACCAAAAACTAAAAAATAAATATTAAAAAAATTATTAAAAAAAAGAACTCCATTGTGTATAAGAATCTACTTTTACACTCAACACTATATCTTGATCATCTTTCCCCGTTATCTTTTTTAAAGGCTTCAGAATATTTAAATAGTACGTTGCCCATAAAATATATAAACTTATGGCCTCTATAATCTTTTAGTTTGATGAATTAGAATTTGATACCACTCTTTCTTTGAACTTGTTCATTCCTGAGATATCTCCAACTCAGTATTGTATGATTCCTGATTCTGCTCCGTGAAATTTTAGACCTGCTAACCATTTCATAGAGAAGCAAAGCCCTGGTAGGTGGCTTAGGAAAGAGAAAAAGGAAGCCGCAGCACTGAGCCTAGGTGGTCAGGCTTTGGGTCAGTGGAGAGAATATAACAGTAAGGGTCTGCAGAGATAAATGGACTTGTAAACCATGGTGTTTGTCCAGAGAAGCAGTATGTGATGTGTAGCCCTGGAGTTCAGAGCTAAGGATCAGTGCCTGCCACTTGAGGATGATATGGCCCTAGAGAGAAGGGACCCATATAATGACAGTAGTCCAGGCCTGAGGAGAGCATGGCTGCAGTCTGCCAGCTGGCAGCTCCAGAACTCCTCTGAGGTTTAGCTAGGGACTGAAAGCCCTGGAGAGGTTGATGTTCCAGCAATGCAAGTATAGGGCTTTTAGGTACAGTTTTTGTAAACAACATGTTTTTTTAAAAAATATTTTTTAGTTGTTGATATACCTTTATTTTTTATTTATTTATACCTGGTGCTGAGCTCAGTGCTTCACACATGCCAGGCAAGTGCTCTGCCAATGAGCCACAACCTCAGCCCCTTTGTTTAAATAAATGTTTTTATCTTGAATTCTTTCACAAATTTGAGAATGTTCAGGTGAATGTTCTAGGTCATATTGGCTTATTCTAATTGTAGTAGAGACATTATTCAGTTTGCTTTGTAAACATAGCTTTTCTCTCTCCACCTCTCACTCATTGTTGGAAAGGGGTAGCCTGCCTCCAGACTGCAGCCCATTCATCCATATGGGTCACTTACGTTTTCTTTCCTAGAAATGAGTAGGGTTGGTGCTGTTAAAATTGAAATTTGAGCTGATAGTTCTCAAGTTTTGTTCTGCATTGTTTGTTCTGATCACCTGCACAACTTTCTAAGAGCACAAGCCTGTTGAGAACTTAGATCATTCACATCCACCTAGGAAACTTAGTAAAAATATATGATTCAGTATATGTCCCAGGTAGTAGAATATGATTCAGTATATGTCCCAGGAAGTAGAATGTATTGTTGGAGAATCACCTCTGTCCCTTCACTTGGACAAGGAAGTCTGTTCAGAATCTAGATAAATAAATAGCATTTGGGTAACTCCATTTTTAAGCTCTTTATTTCTTTTACCATGACTATGTTAGAGAACCTTATCCTATTGTGTGTGTGGTAAGGTAAGGTGATGTGATATGATTATTGAATCCAGGATTCACACAGGTAGGCAAGTCCCCCACCCCAGCCTAGCACCTCCCCTTGCTGCATCTCAGGTTCCTGAGTGGCTAGACTATCTCTTAGTGTCTTTCTTCTATTGGCTTATGATGTTAGGATACTGGAGATGCATTTTTAAAACAACTGTTTTGCTTAAAACAATAATTAAATGCTTTAACATTATGAAGTTCCGTGAAAATTTTTTTAGCTTAGTAAGACTTTTTTTTCCCCCTTTCTTCTTTCATGTTCCTTGGATTTCAACAAAGTTATGATCAATGTGTGTGTTCAGTTTTGAGTTATTTTACTTCCATTATGGTATTCCTATATAGGGTTCCAATGTACTGACACAGAAACTTTTGAATTCATATTGTTGATAGTTTAATTATGGAATAGCTTAAGACCTGAAGTGAAATATAATTATGTATCCGCTCTGCCCAGGGTGAATATGTAAAAAACACATTTTTATTATAGTAATGACTTAAAACTCCAACTAAGTATAAATAGATAAGCAATACAAAACCAAATAAAGCACAAAGGAAAAATAATCTCACACATGTTCATTCTTTGGTTAACCCTCTTGCCTGTGCTTTTCCTTTGGCCTTCTGTTATATTGATTTGGTTCACATGTTACAAGCTACAAACCATGCTATAATCAGCTTTCTTAAGTTCATTTAATGTGATTTTTCTGCTTAAAGCGAATAAAGTGAAAAGTTGGTTTGTTTGTTTTTTTTTTTTGGTACCAGGGATTGAATCCAGGGGTGCTTAACCACTGAGCCAGTTTAATTTTTTTTTTTTTTAAGATTTTCAGATCATTTATTTCAGAAATACAATTCCACTGCCCCTTTTTTAAAGTGTGGCCCCTCTCACCACCAAATTACTGGAAGGTTTATTTCTGCCCCACTTACTCTATTAGTAAGAGAGTCTATTTTTCTAGCTCAATCCTAAATCATTAGTGTAGTATAAGAGTTCTGTTTCCAGGCAGTTTTAAAGCAGAACTATGTCCTTCCTTCTCCTAATTGTAGTGTTCATATTTGAAAATCACTTTAATTGTTGAATAACAGCTGAAAAATAATCATGTTGGTATTTGTCTTTGTCAAGTTGGTGAGGATTTGCAGTAAATACAATGTAGATTATTTTTCCTGTAAAACAGTTGCTAGATATTGGAGTACATTAATTAGCTGGGACCATTGTTAGCTAATGGAATGTCCTAATAATTTCTTTGGAGAAAATGTGAGCTGAGTTTGGGTGAGAGGCAAAAACGGGTTTGTTTCTCAGCAGGGAACAACATTTGGAGGACATCAGTTAGGATGGCTTGGGAAGCTCATTTTGGAAACCAGACACATAACTATATAAATTATAACAAGATACAGAATAGAGGTCTTCAAACACTGCTGGGCTAATCAGACATTTTTTCTAAGGAATACATTCCAGAGTAGGCTGGGGATGGGCAACCTATAGATACAGAAATAATTTAAGGCCATGCTACAATGCAATGGGAAGAGATTTGTGAATTGCTGTATTGACTTTTGTGTATGTTGATGGACAAACCACAAAAAGTTCGCTGGTTCAGGATGTCTGGAAGGTTTCCTGCTTCTCAGCAAACTAAAGAGGAAAGTATGGATAAACCCTTGTGAAAACTTTCTTATGGGATCTCAGAGACCCGATGGGTCTTCATGTACAGTAAGAATGTGAAAAGTCCCTTGTACTTCTGTGTGAGAATAAGCAGCATTGGAATTGTCTTGGTTAACCAAGGCACATTTATTTTTTAAAATATCTTGAGGAGGAGTCTTGGTAAGTTGCTTAGGATCTTGCTAAACTGTTGAGGCTGGCCTTGAACCTGCCTCAGCCTCCCAAATTGCTGGGATTATAGGCATGTGCCACCATGTCTGCTTTTGCACAATCTCTAAGTTCAAAACAGCCCTTACTTCATCACTTCTGCCTCTTCATCCATTCCACATACCATTAGCAATCATCTCATTCAGCTGTAATCTTTCCCCCTTAGGTTACGTTTTTTAAAACACAACCATGCACACTGTCACATGCACACAGGCACATGAGCACACACAGCTGCTCCTAATTAACTTCACAAGCTCTTTCTTAGTGGATGACTCATCATGATTCAGCAGCCTGTCTTTGGGGAGCTGATTTTTACAGAGTAGCCATATGATTTTTTTAGTAGTTAATCTCTCTTAAAGGCTAAACAGAGTTCAGATTTCTTTCAATTTATGGTTTTAGTCCAGCTTAGTTATGATAAATGTACAGATATGTTAGGATAGTATAAGATGTTGTGGAGCTTCAGGTTTAGAATATGGATATTCCTAGAACTGAAGGAAATTCCTGTGATTCAAAAGTAAAATTATTTTTTTTTAATTTTCCCATCCATTCACTGAATTAATTTTGTCTAAGTGGAAATGTTATTAACTGACAAGGGGAGGAGAGTCCATAGCCTGAGGACCCAAGGAAGTCTGAACTAAATGGACACTGTGAGGGTGGTTTTCACCTATTTATTATGCAGTGTGCTGTGGACTTTGAACAGTGCCTAACCTGTGTTCCATGAGTTTGTTTATGAGAAACTCCTATGCCCCCATGATGTATATCAGCTATTAAAAGTGCATAAGGGGGCTGGGGTTGTAGCTCAGTGGTGGGGTGGTTGTCTAGCATATGTGAGTCACTGGGTTCAATCCTCAGCACCATGTAAAAATAAATAAGTAAGAATTGTAATGCATTCCACTGTCATGTATTTTAAAAAATAAAATCAACTAAAAAAAAGAAAATGGCTTATGAAATATTAATTTAAAAAAATAAATAAGTAAAATAAAGGTATTGTGCCCATCTACAACTAAAATATTTTTTTTTAAAGTGCAAAAGAACTTACTTACCATGAGAGAATTCTTCCCGATATATCCTTGGTGGCAGGAGCCAACCTGGGAATGGGGTTGCTTTAGTAGCCTATCACTAGTAGTACATCTTGGGGCATGGTGGCAGCTCTAGCAGGCTGTATATGTGTGGGCAGCAACAGCTAGTGCTTATTTTTCTGGTGACCAAAAGACTGGGAACAAGTGGTGATAACAATTCTCCTGACTTCACATTGTCTTTATATTGTACTCTTGCAGTTGGTGCTGCAGTGCATACATACATTTGCCTGAGTTTCTCAGCGATGCTGGAGAACAAGCTGTGAAAGTATATTTGTAAATGCTTCTCTGAGATCTTACTAAATGTTGTTTTCTCTTGTATTACCTTTCAGAATGAAAGCCATAGAGAGTCCTAACAAGGATGATGATACTCAGTGGCTGACCTACTGGGTAGTGTATGGTGTGTTCAGCATTGCTGAATTCTTCTCTGATCTCTTCCTGTCATGGTTCCCCTTCTACTATATGCTTAAGGTATGTTAACTTCTAGATCTGTTTTCTTCCCTAAAGCTTCAGCCTAGGACCTGTAGACAAGGTATGGGAACAAATGCTTTAATGTTGGATATCTGTGGTTATGTCTCAGATTGTAAATAAGAAGATAAGATTCAACGTCTGACTTTCTTTGGATACTGTCTTGGAAACAGCCAGAGCAGTAATTACAAAGGATGGAAATACTATAACCTAGCACAAGTATTGCTGTTGATTTGCTAAGATCCTGACTTCACGCAGTATTGTCTACGTTCAATGTGGAAGCACTGTAGTTTTTAGCAGGTCATCAATTATTTATATTGGCAAGCAGGAGTCATTTATTTATGGAAGGAAAAATGCTTATTTTTTATATAGGTTTGGAGAAAGGAGATGTGCAGATGGCTGTTTGAGAAAGTCATTTTAATGAGGTGGGCAAGAGCAATAGTCAGGGATTGGCCCTGCCAAACCTTGTGTGAGACATAGGACTAGCCTTAGTTACCAGCAGTTGGGGAATAGGGACATGAAGTCGAAACTTATTCCTGTGAGACTTCTGTGAACTCCTGACTTGCACTAGAGGTGAGTGAAAGTGAAAAAGTTCACACTTTTAATAAGCAGACTAGTCCTTCTTTCACTAAAAGGGACAGTCTGTCTTCAGTGAATCTTCAGGTGTCTTCCACAAGAAGAGGCTCTGCTTCCAGTTAGTAGATGTGATATGAACAGTGCTTCTGGTCCTCAGAGCCACAGTCACAAACCGAATATGCAGGAGTGGTGGTATGTCTAGTCCTTAGGATTTCTGGGTTGTCTTCTTTTTATTAGTGTTCATTTTAATAAAAGCTACACATGACATAGTTTAAAGGTTCAAATAATTCTATAAGATTTTGAAGAAAAACACCATTTTTGCACCTTCCAATCACTATCATTTCATTTGTGGCAATTTGTCACTTACCTTGTATGTCTCTAAAGAATATGCTTGGTTTAGTTACCTTTTACTGTTTTATACATTAGCTGTTTGGGGTGGGGGTACTGGGAATTCAACTCAGGGATGCTTTACCACTAAGCTACATCCCCATCCCTTTTTATTTTTTAATTTTGAGACAAAGTCTTACCATGTTAGAGGCTGGCCTGAAACTTGGGACTCCTGCCTCAGCCTCCTGAGTTATTGAGATTATAAGCGTGCACCACCACACCTAACTTTTAGTCTCATTTTATAGTCTCCCTCACCATTATATTGACATTATCTTGATTTTTAATTCTCAGTAGGGGTGTGTGTGTACGTCTGTTTTAAATCTATTTGTGCTTTCCTTCTTTCTGGGAGATTTCTCAATCTGACCTTCCAGTTTTCACATTTATTCCATGGATATACTATAACCATTCTGTAATTGATTCCATATATTCCGATTTTGGTTTCAGCAACTATATTTTTCAAACCTAATTATTTTTGCTTGGTTCTTTTTAGGGTTTTTTTTTTTTTTTTGTTCTTATTTTATGTTGTTAATATTTTTTTGTTTCATTTAGTGTAGTTAAAAATCTATTTAAATTATTGGTTAGTTGTTGTATTTTGCTTCTAACAGAATCTGTAGTTGATTATATTGTTTTTCTTTTGAAATGGTTGTACTCATTAAAATACCATATTATCTTGGACTGCAAACTCATTTTCCTCCAGGGGTTTCAGATGCTGTCAGGCACTGGAGGAAGGCCGCACCCAGTCGATGCTGGTCTTAGCTCTGGGTAAGGGGTGGGTGAGACCTGAGGTTAGGCAGCAGAGGAACCAGTTACTGACTCTTTACCCACAAGGCAGCTCCTCAAGCCTAGGCTTTACCCTCCCTACTGCCATTCTGAAGCAGCATTAGAGATGGTCCTGAATTGTAATTCACAGGTCCAGAAGCTGGAGTAGGAGGGGTGGCAAAGAAGCGGTATGTTAGTCTCTTCCTGTTTTCCTTAACACCTCACAGGTCATCTATTCCTGAATACCTCAGAGTTAGAAAAGAGTATAGGAGATGTGTGTGTGTGTAATTTTTTAAATTTCAAGGTATAGAAGCCAGACAATGCAAAAATCACAAAGAGAAATATTTGATAAATTTGACTAAAATTTTAAAAAATTAAGTTTCTTTATGAAATGGGCAGCATAAATAAAATTAAAATAATGATACGTTAGGAGGATGTATTTACAACATTTACACCAAGTAAGGAACTAATACCCAGAGTATATAAAAATTTCTGCAAGTTAAGGGGCTGGAATATAGCTCAGTTGAAAGAGTGCTTGCCTCGTATGCACAAGGCCCTGGGTTCAATCCCCAGCACCACTAAAAAAAATGTTTGCAAATTAAAAAGAACGAATGAAGGTTCTATATAGATATTTATATAAAGAAAAAAATATGATTTGCCAAGGGAACATGTAACTAGTGATCTGGGAAGTGATGTGACTTAAAATAGGGAAATCCCATATTTATTAAATTGGCAGATTTTTTTTTTTTTTTTTTTTGGTGCTGGGGTTTGAACCCAAGGCCTTGTGCATGTGAGGTAAGAACTCTACCAACTGAACTATATCTCCAGCCCAAATTGGCACATATTTTTTTTTTTGAATTTTTAATATTTATTTTTTAGTTTTCGGCGGACACAATATCTTTGTTTGTATGTGGTGCTGAGGATCGAACCCGGGCCGCACGCATGCCAGGCGAGCGCGCTACCGCTTGAGCCACATCCCCAGCCCCAATTTGCATATATTTTAAAGATTGAAAATACTTGGTATTGATGAATATGTAGGGAAATGGATATGGTTGTGTTATTGTGAAAGCCCGATTTTCTGCTGCTGCCTGAGAGCGCCAATAACTCGAGAGACAGTGGTGGGAGAAGAAGTTTTTAGCAACAAGCTGGCATATTGGAAGACAACCAGCTAGCTCCTGGGTTGTTCTTGTTGAATACCAAGACAAAGTTCATGTAGATCCTTTTGTGGGGATGTTATCTCAGTCTCAGGCAGGCGGACACCAGAGTAGTTCATTAGTTCTGAGGAATGAGGCAGCTCTAGAATGTGGGTTGTGAGTTAGTGATGTGGTTCTGAAGTCACCGTGTCATCCTGGATCTGTGAATCCAAGACAATAAGGTTCTTTCAAGGTTTGCCACTTGAAGGTCGGTATACCTGCTCTCCGTCACAGCCAGTCTCTTGTATGACTACCTTTTTATTGGAATCATTACTGTAGCCTGGGAAGAGGGAGTGTGCATGAAAGGGTAACTCTTTTAACTGTATCAACTGCTAGTCTAGTAAGATGTGGAGCAGGATGCAGGGAGAAAACAGCCACGCTTACAAATTGAAAAGGAGGAAGAGAGGAAAAACACTTTAGCTCAGAGTGCAGCTTCAGTAATAGTGGTTCTGGTTAATAGGTAGTGGTATAAATTAGAATAGTTTTTTTTGTTTGTTTGTTTGTTTTGTTTTTGGTATTGAACCCAGTGTACTTTATCATTGAGCTCCAGCACTTTTTTAAAAATTTTGAGACAGGGTCTCACTTAGTTGCTGAGGGTCTTGCTAAGTTGCTTGCGATCCTTCTTCCTCAGCCTCCCAAGTTGCTGGCATTATAAGCATGAGGTACCACACCTGGCTTAGAATGGCCTTTTTATGGAACCACTTGACAGTTTTTTAAAGTGATACTTAATTCAATCCTAAGGAAATATTCACAGTGCATAATGGTTGTGCAGATATATTAATTGCAGAAACTTGTTATAACTAAAAATTATGAACTGGTAAGTCTATTGATAGGTAAATAATTAATAGAATATCTGTACCATTAAGTGGAATAATGTGGACTGAAATACATCCATATGCATAAATAAATAAATTTCTACATAATTCATTCATTATGAAAAATTATAAAACATTACATATAGTACAACACTGTTTTAAAAAGATAAGGTAAATAAAGTTTAAAAGATTAAATGAAAACATGATCTGTATAGATTGTGTTCATTTTTAATGACATTATCATAGAACACTTGATAAGAATTTCCTCTCAAAAGAAACAGAAGAAAATTGGTCTGTGGAAAGATTTAAGATTTCAAAGATTGCTGGATTTTTGTGTGTTTTTGTTATTCAAAGATATTTAGCATTTGTAAAAATATTTTTATAAACTGAGTGTGATGGCACATGCCTGTAATCTCAGCAGCTTTTGGAGGCTGAGGCAGGAGAATCTCAAGTTCAAAGCCAGCCTCAGCAACTTAGTGAGGCTGTAAGCAACTGTCTCAAAAAATGAAGAAGAAGGGCTGGAGATGTGGCTCAGTAGTTAAGTGCCTCTGAGTTTGAGTTTAATCCCTGATACCAAAAAATATATATGTATATGTATTTATAATCTTTAATTTACATGTGTCTTATTTTAAATTTAAGATAATTTTGAAGCCTTCAATAAGATCCATTTCATGGCATTAACCTCACAGTACAATTATATAATGGAAAGAAACTTTTTTCCAACAACTTTTCTGCTTTCTGCAGCATCTAGGATCCTGTCTGCAAAACCACTTCCAGCAGCAGTATCTGACCTCAAGCTTCCAAATATGAGCAAGCATTACTTCTGGTCTGCTCCCGATCACCTTTACTAATGGAAACCACAGAGACAGGGACAAAGTCCAGAATAAGAGATAGTCACTAGAGGCCTATGGAGTAGCTCAGTAGCAGAGTGCTTTCCTAGCATTCACAAGGCCCTGGGTCCAATCCTTAGCAACCCCCACTCCCCAAAAGAGAGACAATCACTGAATCATCTATATCCAATTTGGAAGTACATTTAAAAAGTTGCTTTGTAGCAAATTTTCTTCCTTAATAGTAAAATGAATGTGCATCCATTAGTCTCCAGCTGCATTGCATTATGATGTCGATGAGAGTGAATTTACTGTATGTTCCAAATAGATAATATAGTTGAGATGATTAAAAATTGATGCTGGCAATCAAAATGCTTTCTTCCTGAGGTAATGGCATATTCTGAGTGGCTTCAGTGAACAGATTGAGAAAAAGCCTGAATTATAAA